GAGTCTTCCAGGGGGACTGAGTGACCTTTGTGCTCTTGTTCCCCRCTCTCTGCTGCAGTGGAGGAGAGGAAGGACAAACAGGCTGCTCCAGCCCCGGCCCCTGCCAAGCCCGAGAGTGTCCCCAAAGTGGTGCCATCGGCTGCTGCTGCTGCTGGCACAGCCTCGGGGACGGTGACAACGCCAGCTCCAGCCCCTCCAACCCCCCCGGCCCCAAAGGTGGTGAGCACAGCTCCCATCCCTGCAGCACCAGCGCTCGCCTTGCCCAACCTGGCCAACGTGGACCTGGCCAAGATCAGCTCCATCCTCAGCAGYTTGACATCAGTGATGAAGAGCACAGGTGAGTGCTGAGCTGGGCCATGGGCACTGTCACACTGTCACTGACAGAGCTGGCTGATTGTGTAAAGCTTTAATTGTGAGTGAATTTACGGAGGTCTGGCTTGGTCTTGTGCACACAGCATTACCCTCCTGAGCCTGTCCTTGCTCGTGCTCAGTTGTGCCTGTGGCAGATCTGAGCCAAAAGCACTCAGGTGAGTGTGTGTGCTCCTGTCCCAGGTGTCAGTCCTGCCTCCAGACCTTCACCGGGGACCCCAACGAGCCCCACAGCTCTCACCAGTGGCCTGAAGACTCCTGTCCTGGGGGCCCCATCTGCTCCTTCCAATCCGTTAGCAAACATTCTCTCCAAAGTTGAGATAACCCCGGAAAGCATTCTGTCAGCTCTCTCCAAAACCCAGACTCAGACAGCACCGGCGCTGCAAGGTACTGGGGGAGGTGTTGGGTGTTGGGGGAGGCTGGCAGGGTTTGGAGGGGCTGAAACGTGCTGCTCTGCTCGTCCTGAGGTGAGAACAGAGGGAGAAAAGCTTCAGTGGAATGTTTTACACCTGGCACGTGCGGGTGGTGGTTCTCAGGTGGCACCGTGTCACGGACCAGTGAGATCTGTCACTGCCGTGTCCTTCCTGCTGTGCCRTGGCCAAAGCACACGTATTGTGATTGGAACATTGCCCGTGAGGCTCCTGAGCAGGACAGGATACCACGAGCTCTCTGTGTTTTCCTTGTGCACAAAGCTGTCCAGAGGTTCTGCTCCTTCCCTGGCACTTTGCCTGCTCACCTGGTCATCGGGGCAGGGTTTCCCACTCGTGCCTGCAGAGCAGGACAGGTTCTTACTCACCTGACTCCATGGTGTAATTTGTATTTGTACATCAGTCCAAGYCTCTGGCTGAAGGTTTCACCTCACTGGCTGCTGATGCCAGGCAGCAGAATCCAGTCCTTTCCATGGCTGGAGCCTGAGCAGGTGTCAGAGCAGATCAGGAGCCTTTCCCATGGCAGTGGCTCGGGSTGATTTGCCTCTGCCCTGGGTTCCTGATGCAGCAGTTGTGTTTTGCAGGGCTGTCGTCCTTGCTGCAGAGTGTGGCTGGGAACACTGTTCAGTCGGGAGAAGCTGCCTCGCAGAGCACCTCAGCATCTCCAGCCAACACGACCGTGCCGTGCATGAAGGGGAGGAACGTCCCTTCCAACCCGCAGCCCTTCATAGCCAAAAGCTTTGGTTACTCTCCCAACTCAACCACCGCTGAGGTTTCCTCCACTTCAGTCAATAAGGCTCCCGTCGGACACACCCCAGCACTGTCGAGCTCGGGGTTTAAGCCACCAACCAATTCCCTGGGATTTTCCAGTTCCCACCCTCCCAGTCCTTCCTCCCTTTTGCCAACAGAAACCTCACTGGGTCAATCCTCTGAAATTTCAAAAGCCAAGCTGGAATCAGAGCCCCCTTCTCCAAGCTTGGAGATGAAGATACACAATTTCCTGAAGGGAAATCCTGGCTTCAGTGGCCTGAACTTRAATATTCCCATCCTGAGCAGCTTGGGGTCCAGCATGGCAACGGAGAGTCACAGCTCTGAGTTCCAGCGTGGCCCCACCAGCACTTCCATGGACAATGTGGACGGGACCCCGGTGCGCGACGAGCGCAGCGGGACCCCCACCCAGGACGAGATGATGGACAAGCCCACGTCGAGCAGCGTCGACACCATCTCCCTGCTGTCCAAAATCATGAGCCCCGGTTCCTCAACGCCCAGCAGTACGAGGTCGCCTCTGCAGAGCCGAGATGATGGATATTCCCAAGAACTGCCCAGTTCTGTGCACGGCTACCGGCCCTTTGGCCTCGGCAGAGAGTCTCCTGGCCGCCTGTACAAGCCGCCTGCAGACAGCAGGGAGATGCCCTCCTCCCTGATGGACTCCTCCCAGGAGAAGTTCTACCCAGACACATCTTTCCAAGARGACGAGGATTACCGTGACTTCGACTACTTGGGGCCGCCGCCCTCGGCCATGCTGAACCTGGAGAAGAAGCCGGTCAAGTCCATCCTGAAATCGAGTAAACTCCCCGATTCTGCCGAGTACCAGCCGGTGCTGTCCAGCTACGGGCAGCGGCCGCAGGAGTTTGGCRTGAAGCCGTCCTTCCCCCCAGCCATGAGGTCCATCCTGGATCAGAGCGAGAGCTGCGACCCGCTGGCCTCATCCCCAGGGATGTTCGGCAGCTACGGCCGCAGGGGGAAGGACTCGGCCTCGGATGGGTCCCCATCACCCAGCAAGAACGACGTGTTCTTCACACCAGACTCCAACCACAGCAGCCTGGCCAAGCCCGGCCTCCCACAGAAGCAATACTCGGACTCAGCCCATGCCCTTCCCCACCGCTCGCTCTTCTCTCCCCAGAACGCCCTCCCCAGCCCCGCCGGCCGAGCACCCCCGGCGGCTGGGGACAAACCCATGGCTTCCTCCATCTCCACCACCTCCACCATCGAGTTCAAGAACATGCTCAAAAAYGCCTCCCGGAAGCCCTCCGAGGAGAAGCATTTTGGGCAGATTCCCAAAAGCGGCTCTGGTGAGGTGGGGAGCCTGTCTGGGGCAGTGAAGGGTGAGCCGCAGCCGCCGGAGGAGCACTACCGCATCGAGACCCGCGTCTCCTCCTCCTGCCTGGAGCTGCCCGACAGCACCGAGGAGAAGGGGGCCCCCATCGAGACCCTGGGCTACCACAACGCGGCCAGCCGGGGCATGCCGGGCGAGCCCATCCAGACCGTGGAGTCCATCCGGGTGCTGGGCAAGGGCAGCCGGGGCCACGGGCGCGAGGGGAGCCGGGCGGGGTGGTTCGAGCTGGGCAGCGGCGGCAGCGCCTTCGACAACGGCCCCTCGGGCTCCTCGGAGCTGCCCGGCATGGGCGGCTTCCCGGCGCCCTACAAGGAGCACGTCCCRCCCTTCCCGGAGAGCGTCAACAACTTCCGAACGAACAACTTCAGCCCTGCCTTCGAGCACCACCTGCCGCCGCCGCCGCCGGGCCTGCCGCCGCCCCTGGAGCACGGCAGCCCGTTCCCCCGGGAGCCCCCGCCCGCCGCCCCCAAGGACCACGGCGCTCTGTTCCCGCGGGAGCACCCGGTGCCTGCRCGCCTGCCGGCCGTGGATCACAGCAACCCCTTCTCCAAGGAAACGCCCGCKCCGCTGCCGCTGCCGCACGGCGTGCCCCCGCCGCCCTCGGTGGAGCACGCGGGGGTCCCGTTCCCCACGCCCCCGCCGCCCCCGGTGCCCGGGGAGCACGCCGGGGTCCCGTTCCCCGCGCAGCCGCCGCCGGCCGGGGAGCACGGCGGGGTCCCGTTCCCCGCGCCATCGCCCCTGGAGCACGGCGCCAGCGCCTTCCCCAAGGAGCACGGTACGATCCCAGGGACGCTCAAGGAGCACTTCGGGGCCGTGCAGCCCCGGGAGCCGCTGCCCCGCTCCCGAGAGCCCGCGGGCCCCGCTCCGCTGCCCCGGGAGCCGCTGGGGGCTGCTCGTGGTCTGGGCCCCCCCGCCCACCGGGACCCCGCGGGCCGCGGCTCCGTCCTGCTCCGCACACCCCGCGCCGAGTTCCGCGGGCCGCGGGAGCCCTTCGGCGGCAGAGACCCCTTCCAGAGCCTCAAACGGCCCCGGCCGCCCTTCGCCCGGGGAGGGGCCCCCTTCTTCACCCCCAAGCGCCCCTTCTTTCCCCCCCGGTACTGAAGCAGCTGCCCAGCTCCCGGGGCTGCCCTTCCATTTGGTTTGTTTTGTTTTTTTTTTAATTTTTTTTTCTTTACTTCATTTTTTCTTTTTTCTTCCCCTCAAGACCCCTGTAACCTTCTCTTAAATTAAATGTTCTGTACTTTTCGGTTGGTTCTGCCCCCAGCCCCTCAGCATTGGGCGAGACAAAACAGACAAAAAACAATGTTTTAACAAGAAGAAGCCACGTTGCTGTTAAATAAAAACTTCAGTAGTAGTTGGAAAAGTTAAAATGAAAAAAAAAAAATTAAAAAAAAAAGGAAAAAACTCTGAAGGCTTCGAGAGGAGCATTGAGTGGTGTTGGGGTGTTGGTTTTCAGCCGATCCCCAAATTGCTGCTGCAGGGAGGGGAGACCCCCCTGTTCCTCCTGTCTGCCAAAAGCACCTAAAGGAGGCAAAAAARGTTGAGGAACCCACCCAAACCCAACTCGGAACTCCATGGGATGTGGGACTGTCAGCAAGGAGCCCAAGCCGCCCCCTGTGCTTGGGAASACTCGCTTGGGTTTGSGTTCAGTTGGGGATCTTTTTTTKTKTTTATTTTTTTGTTTCCCCCCTGGATCACTTGACTTTCTACATGTGTGTATATAACAATCACTTTCTAATTCCCTCTGGGATGGTTCCCCACGCGCAGTTGGAGCCCARCGTGGGATGCAGAGGGGTCCCCAAACCCAGGGCCGCCCCCGCGGCTTTTGTATGAAGTTGGGATTTTACTTGATTTATTTTAATTATTTTTTGTTGGCTGTTAGTTGCCTCCATCGTACCTGTTTGATACCGGTGTGGGCTTCAAGATCTGCATAAAAAGTACCAAACCAGCGGTTGGCGGGTCCGTTCTTTCTCGCGTGCGCTCGGACACCCCCGGCCCGTCCATGGTTCCGTCCCGCCCGCGGCGCTCCTGCCCGGGCGGGCGAGTCCAACGCGGCCCCGCGGGGGGGGGCGGGGTCGGTGTGTCCCGGTTCCGGCGGTGTTGGCGGAAGGGGCGGAGCCTCGGCCATGTCCGCCCGTGCCGGTTCGCGGCTGCTGCTGGCGGGAGCCCCGCGGCGGTACCGGGTGGGCTCGGGACCCCCGGGACCCCCTCCCCGCGCCCCGCCGGGACCCCCGGCACCGCCCCGACCCTTCCCCGGGCTCCCCGAGCCCCGCAACACCCGGGGCGACCCGGTGACCCCCGGTGATCCCCGTGCCCATGTGACCGGAGCGGATCCCGAGCGCCTTCGGCTCTTCCAGCGGCTGCGGGCGGCGGCGGCGGAGCGGCGGGACCGGGACGGGGATGGGGCCGGGGATAGGGCCGGGAATGGCACCGGGAGCGGCACCGGGGATGGCACCGGGAGCGGCACCGGGGATGGCACCGGGAGCGGCACCGGGGATGGCACCGGGAGCGGCACCGGGAGCCGCCGCCTCCCGCCGGGGACACCGATCCGCATCGCGCTGCCCGGGGGGCGCCTCCTGCCCGGCCGGGCCCTGCAAACCACCCCGTTCCAGGTGGCCACGGAGCTGGGGTACGACCCCGAGGGTCCCCAGGCTGTCCCCAGGGTCCCCGCAGTGTCCCAACACCGTTTCCCGGTCCCTCGCGGTGTCCCCGCACGGTCTGCAGGGTCCGCACCGTGTCCCCAATGTCCCCGCAGAGTCCCCAAGAGCTCCACGGGGTGGGGTCCCCACAAGGTCCCGGTGGTTCCCGCAGGTTCATGGGGTTCCTGCGGTGTCCCCATGGTCGCCTCGATCCGCGCGGGGTTCCCGCGGGGTTTATGGGGTCCCCACAGAAGCTCCTTTGGGTTTGCTGTCCCCAAAGTCCCCGGTGTCCCTGCAGGGGTGGCCTGGCGGAGGCGGCGCTGGTGGCCCGGGTGAACGGGACCCTGCAGGACCTGGAGCKGCCGCTGGAATGTGACACCGACCTGGAGCTGCTCGACTTCTCCACGCCCGAGGGGCGGGAGGTGAGCCCGGGGAGCGACCTGGGGAGCGGGACCGGCCCCGGCTCTGCTCACAGCCCGTGTGTGTCCCCTCTGTGTCCCCTCTGTCCCCTCTGTGTCCCCCCGTGTCCCCCGTGTCCCCCAGGCCTTCTGGCGCTCCGGTGCCTGTGTCCTGGGGGCGGTGGCAGAGCAGTTTTTCGGAGCGACGCTTTGCAGCACTCAGACCACGGAGGACGGCTTTTTCTGCGATGTGCACATGGGCAGCAGGTGGGGTGGGGTCCCCAGGGTGTCCCCAGGGTGTCCCCAGGGTGTCCCCAGCATGTCCCCAGCGTGTCCCCAGCCTGTCCCCAGCATGTCCCCAGTGATGTCCCCAGGGTATCCCCAGCCTGTCCCCAGCGTGTCCCCAGGATGTCCCCAGCCTGTCCCCAGCCTGTCCCCAGCCTGTCCCCAGCGTGTCCCCAGGATGTCCCCAGCGTGTCCCCAGCATGTCCCCAGTGTGTCCCCAGCATGTCCCCAGCGTGTCCCCAGCCTGTCCCCAGTGTGTCCCCAGCATGTCCCCAGCGTGTCCCCAGCCTGTCCCCAGTGTGTCCCCAGCATGTCCCCAGCGTGTCCCCTGCCCCAGGACGGTGCAGAGCTCGGAGCTGCCCGCTCTGGAGGAGGCCTGTGCCACCTTCGCCCGTGCCCGGCACCGCTTCGAGCGCCTCGAGGCCACGCGGCCGCAGCTGGCGGAGCTGCTCAAGGTGAGACCCTTCCCCACCCCGGGATGGGCTGTGGGACCCCGGCTTGGGGACATTGGGACCCTCCTGCTGGGGATCAYCAACCAGAGTGACGCTCAGCAGGACCAGTGTCACTGCTCCTGGGTGTCACCTGTGCCACTGTCACCGCCTTGGCTTCCCCCAGCACGGTGTCACTCTCCCCCATGGTGTCACCCCTCTAATATCACCAGCTCTATGTCACCCCCTCACTCTTGTCCCCTCCCAGCACAACAGCTTCCAGCTGCAGCGGCTCGAGGAGGAGGTGACGTCCCCTACAGCCACGGTCTATCGGTGAGCACGGGGACACACAGGGGACACACAGGGGACACACAGGGGACACACAGGGGACACGGGGGTGGCCGTGGGTCACCGCAGCTGTCCCCAAACACATCCATTCATCTCTCAGGTGTGGCCCCCTGCTCCAGCTCTGCCGCGGGCCCCTGCTCCGGCACACGGGGCTGATCGGAGCGCTGCGAGTGCTCACGGTGGGTGTCGGGT